GAAAATGGAATCCATCTGTACTTTGAAATTCTGAAGTAAGATTTTGAAAATTAAAAAAAAAATTGTTGAACATTTATGACAAACCGAAGATGAACATAACCTTTTAAACGTTTTTAAAAGGTTATGTTCATAATAAATTGATCTACGAACTTCAATATATCGATAAGAAATATTAAAATCAACAATGATCCTTGGTCCATATTGAAGCCATGTCCAAACTTCTTATGCCACTATATAGACACTTCGGTTAAAAAAATCGGGTTAAAACTTACAAAATACGGAATATATACGGGACCTTTTAATGGCCCTTTATTGCTAACTAGCATATGCCCGCTACTTCGTTAGTGTATGTTGAAAACCCAATGCCGACCATAATAAAATAGTATGTTCTCTTATACCACATATGTCCAAAAGTACATCCATATCTCAACTCTACACACCAGTTCTGACTGCAACAGAAATCTAGCTCTATACTAAATTTGGTATGTACTCTTTGTACACCCCTGCAGTGATACTAACTCAAAATGTCAAGATTCCAGATCTATCAATTCACCTAAATCCAAATTTGGTATCATTTAGTACACACTAGTACGAATTTCCAAAACGTTCTAAATTGCCCAATCCTACACTCTTGCCCAATCCAATGATCCTAACTCCAAATTTCAAAGTCCGAGCTTATTTCCAATTCCGATAGAGGTTGACCCAAATTCACATTTGGTACCATTGTGTATACATTAGTACAAATTTCCAAAACGTTCTACATATCCTATCCCAAACAGTGACCCTACCTCCAAATTGCAGCTCAATTGGTTTACCCAAATGCACATTTGTTTAAAATGTTATATCAATCAGGCACCCATTGATTATTTGGTTTACAATCAACATGAATAGGTCGAAATTATATATGGAAGCTATGCTATATCTAAATCTGAACCGATTTCAAGGAAACTTACCCGAGGTTAATTTATATTAATTTCAGTACGTTTTGCAAATCGGCCTAGCTATGGGTCTTCAGTACACCACTTACTTAAAATCGGAAGAAAATATATGTAGGAGCTATATGTAAATCTGAACCAATTTCAAGAAAATTTGATACACGAAAGGTTTTAGTAACTTCCATACATTGTACAAAATTGTGTGCGGGTCGGACGAAAATATATATTAGAGCTATATCTAAATCTGAACCGATTTTCACGAAACTTAGCACACATAATTCTGGACCCAATTCAGTACCCTATGCCAAATATGCCGAGCAAATCGAAAGATATATAGGGACTTTGGAAACCCATTTACTTTTAATCGGTCGAAAATTTATATGGGAGCTATATCCAAATCTCGTGCAAATCGAATGATATATACGGAATTTGGTGCACCATTTACCTTAAATCGGACGAAACTATATATGGGAGCTATGTCTAAATCTGAACCGATTTTCTTGAAATTTGGCACACATCATTCTGGACCTAATTCAGTACTCTCTGCCAAATTTCGCGCAAATCGAAAGATTTATAGAGACTTTGGTGCACCATTTACCTTAAATCGGACGAAACTATATATGGGAGCTATATCTAAATCTGAACCGATTCTTCCCAATTTTAATATGGTTCGTCCTTGGGTCAAATAAACGAGCTGTGGCAAAATTCATCCAATTCGAACCAACAACCTGTACTTTGTGACCTGTACTTTGCTTACAATTTAACATAGACAGACGGACGAACGGACCTGGAGAAATCGACTTAAAAAGTGATTCTATGCATTTTCTCAAATCTCGATTCCTTTTGCCTGTTACAAACATATGCACAAATACATAATATCCTGTACCACTGTGTGGTGAAAGGTATAATAAAAATCCTGGTCGTTTTAACCCATTTTTTTTACAACTAAGTAGATACAGCTTTGAAGGTTGATAAATCCAAAACTATTCACATTTTTTCATATACTTTAAATATTGCTGAGGAGTGGACCTCGGGTTCATCTATTTTAAAAAAAAATTTGGCAATATTGTTAAAATTTAACCTATTACTCCAGAATGTTCCTTGACATATGAACATATGAACATTAAAGGCGTTATCAGATATAGTAAATTCTTTGTGGTATAAACATGACATACCCTAATATTTACACTTAAACCGAAATATTTACTCGAAACCGTAACAACTCTATTATTTCCATTAAAAAATTAAAGTGAAAAATTTAACAACTTTTGAAAATGATCAATGTTCATATGATAGCCTCCATATAACGGTTTCGGGATTTTAAGGGCTTTGGGCATGTTTTAGCCCCAATAAATCGGTACGCACAATTTTTGGTATTTTAAGGATAATCGTCATGGTTTTAATTTTGCATTTAGCCACATTGGTGGGTGAACAATTTTTCCACATAACATTTTAATAAAGTTCCGTTTTTCAACACAGCCTCATTTACTATGGAATATATGTCCAGATCGATTTTATTGTTAATCCTAGTTCCTAGCCAGACATGCCCATGTACTCTTTTTATGGAATTAGTCAAAATTTTAAATCGAAATGTGTCCGAAGGTACCATTATCCATTATTTATGGGAAAAAAGAAGGGAAAAAAGAAAAAAAATTTTCAATTAATAAATTAATGTTTTTCCTCCATTGGACTTGTTGCATAGCAAACTATGTATGTGGGTGACAAACTTACACCCACAATCGAACTTCCTGCAACAAACATTTTCGCAAAATGTTTTGTAACATTTCAAAACGCCAAACGACATTTACCACCACCCATTACATGAAAAGCGTACCCGCCTTTACAATACCCCACATAAATGATAACCTAACATAACAACAGCAACAATAACAATAACATTTCACTAACATAAGGCTAAAAGAACACACAAACAATGTGGATGGTATTCATATAAGGGGGGAGAACAAAATCCACAACCATTAATAAGAGAAACGCTCCAGAAGTATTTTTACGAAGAGAACCCGACGCACATTTGTCACCTTTGTTTATTTCAGCAACCTGCTGCTGTTGCCTGTGATGATAATTACGAGTGACTACGAGCGCCAAATGTGGTGGATACCGCCAAACACACAACTGAGTTAGGCCGAAGTGGCCCAGTCTTGCTGGGAAACACAACAACACATAAAAAATGTAAACAAAACACAAAATCTGTTATCCTCTCCGGCCAGAAATAATGTGTGAGCGCTGCGAGAACAAACCAATAAGGCAAAGAGTAAGAGAGCATACCATATATTTGTTGTTTTGGGGGGAGTTTGTGTGCATGTTCATTGCTGCTGATGTGGTTGTTGTTGTTATTGTGATGTGCATTCTTGTTTTGTTTTGTTTTTGCCCACCACACACACTAGTGTTGGAAATGAATGGTACTCCTAGCATCCATCCAACAGTATTAGTTGAGCTCTCGTTTGATAAACAACGTACGGTCGTCGTGTTGTAGTCATTGTCGTCGTCGTTAACGTTGTTGTGTGTTTTTGTTCTTTTAATAATTACTGTTGTTGGTCGGTCGTCCGTCGTGTGTATTAGCCGACTCTGTATATGCAAAACATAACAAAATATATATTTTGTATATGTTTACGTATAGAAAGAAAGTTGCGCGTTAACGCAAAGAGATTGCCGGTTTGTCTTGTAACGGAAGGAAAGAAAAACAAATTTGTGTGTCCTTTTTTCCCATGGGAAATTCAACGTGGTGAAATAGTGTGGTGAATTTGGTGTTCATTTCAACACTTGTGATATAGAAGGATATTTTCCAATTGCCAGTTGTGGTTGTGAGTTAGTTTGTTCGTCGGAGTATGAGCAGGAAGAATAGTCGTTGAATGCTCTGCGTGTCCGTGTCCATCTTCGTTACCGTTGCCGTCGTCTCGTTATAATCGTTGTTGGTGTTGCCGTTGTCGTTTCAATTGCAAAAGAGTTGCGAATAACAATTCAATGGTTATTATTCGCCTTCAGTTGCTGGTTATGGCACAGAATTACGGCAGCATTTGATGGTTAAGGATGCAAAAATGACTTTGGCGGATGCTGGCCGGAAATGAAAGAATAATAGAAGTTTGCCTTTGGTAAACAAACAAAGCATTAGAAAAAATCGCAAAGTGTGAAAAATAGATTTTTTGTGTGTGCCATTGAAAAACAAAAAGAAAATTGCAAAGAAAAAATATAAAAAACAACAAAGAATAATAGTGTGAAAAATAGAAGTTTTGTTCTTCTGCCAGACTTTGTGTCGTTCTACTGCAGCTGCATACGTATGAAAATGATGTCCGGCAATGTTGTTGCTGACTGGCCGTTGTAAAAATTATCGCGTGCTTGGAATTGATGTTCCATTATCATGTTGCCAGGCTTTGTTAGCTGCCTTTAAGTCTGGTTAAGCAGCCAAAGCTCCCCAAGTCCCCTCAGAAAAATATATGCAAATTGTTGTTGGATTTTTTTGTTTTGCGTTCGGTTTATTTTTTTACCGGTTTTACGGGGAGTTGCATTTGAACAAATAAACGACAAAGTGTTGTGTTGTGGAAAACGTGCATAGTTTTTTTGTGGCAAGAGAGCATAACGGCGGAAACCAGAGGACCAGAGACCTGACAGTGTCACTGATAGCCTTAACACCTTTGAAATTGGAATTTTTGGCAGCGAAGCGTGAATTTGAAAACCGACAAGAAAAACACAATACAATAGAATTTTTGGTGTTAATTTTATAATAAAAAATTAAGTGCAAGCTATACAAAAAAATTTGAAATAATAAAAAACAAAATTTTCAAAACTCCCCAGAATTGGGGTAAAAAGTGTCAAAAAATATTTTTGTGTGAATAAAAAAATTAAATTGAACAAATTTCGTAATAAACCAGTCAGACTACCAGCAAAAAAGAAAAATCTACAAAATTTGTGTGTGCCTGCACGTGCACGTGTTTTAGAACCGGAGGAAAACGTAACGAAACTTTTAATTAATTTCCATACTTGAACCACCCTCGGCCCTGCTCCCACTCAGACAGACAACCACGTAAATAAACACAACCAGCCATCATTATGGCTTCGTTACGAAGCTTTTTCTGCTATTTCGTGGTTTTGGCCCTGTGCATCAGCTCGGCATGGGCTTTGAAATCCTCCTCATCATCGAATAACAATGATCCCTGTTATTTTGAGGGTAAACCACGTAAATGTTTGCCGAGTTTTGTAAATGCGGCCTATGGCAATCCGGTGGTGGCCTCCTCCACCTGTGGAACTCATCAGCCGGAACGTTATTGTGAATTGAAACGGGACGGAACACTGGAGGAATGCAAAACTTGTGACAATTCTCGGCCGGATATGCGATTTCCACCCTCATCGCTAACGGATTTAAATAATCCCAATAATGTAACCTGCTGGAGATCGGCAGTGGTGCCAGTGCCCTCAGATCCCGATTCAGCACCACCGGATAATGTCACTCTGACCTTGTCTTTGGGTAAAAAATATGAATTGACCTATGTTAGTCTGTCATTCTGCCCCAAGTCGCCTAAACCCGATTCAATGGCCATTTATAAAAGTTCCGATTATGGTCAAACCTGGCAACCATTTCAATTCTACAGTTCACAGTGTCAGAAATTTTATGGACGCCCAGATCGTGCCAAGATAAGTAAATTTAATGAACAGGAAGCGAGGTGCATGAATTCCCATCATGATGGCAATACCAATCGTTTTGCATTCAATACCCTGGAGGGTAGGCCCTCGGCCAATGATTTGGATTCTTCGCTGGTTTTACAAGATTGGGTTACGGCCACAGATATTCGAGTGGTCTTCCATCGTTTGGAGTTACCCAAAGAACTATTGAATGCCCATTTGAAATCCGATCTGAAAGCCGATGCCAACAGCTTCAGTGATGAAATGTCCACCAGCCAAGAGGACGATGATGATGATGAGGAAGATGATGATTCGGGAGATACCGAAGATGAATATGATGATTATAATATCCATGAAAATGATAGTGTCAACTATGAAGATTTAGAGGATTATGCTGCGGAGCCCAAGAAACATTTGGAATTGGATGATGACTTGGATATGGAATATGCCAATGATGGTGGTATAAATATTACACCGCTGAAAACAAAACGTATATCCCAAAAACAAAAATCCCTGGCCTATGAAAAACACTATAAGGCCAAGGCAGCCAATTTGGCCATGGCTAGTACCACAAGTTCATCAATTTCTTCCGGCAGCAGTTCAACAACCACAAATAAACCCCAAATTGTGGCTGCCTCCAAATATCAACAAAAACCTAGCAGTGATAAATCTTCGTCCTCCTCCTCGGCCGCTGCCATTGCCTCGGCATCGATACGTGATTTGTTGGCCAATTCACAGCATTATGCCGTATCCGATTTTGCCGTTGGTGGACGTTGCAAATGTAATGGTCATGCCTCGGAATGTGTGGCCGTTGTTAGTTCTAATGAAGCTAATCTCTTCAGTCATGATGATGACAATGGTGGTGGTGCTGGTGTTGGTGGTTCCGAATCTTTAGACGATGATGGCAATATAATACGTACATCGTCCAGCAGCAACTCAAATACCGGCCTTTCGATAAATGCCAAATTGACAATGACTTGTTCCTGCAAACACAATACCGCCGGACCGGAATGTGAAAGATGCAAACCGTTTTATTTTGATCGACCATGGGGACGTGCCACCGACACAGATGCCAATGAATGTAAAAGTAAGTAAAGTCAACATATTTCGCCCCCCAAAAAATATTGAACCCAAAAACTGCCAATAATCATTGTGTAGTGAATGAGCGAATGCTTTTTTGTTTGTTTTCTGTTTGGCTTGATAACGAAGTTATGATGACCAGAACCAGTACCAGTGCTTTTGTTTACTTGTCTTCTTTCCTGGCTGCTGCAGCTTCCTTTTGATAGGGATTTGTCTTTCTTCTTCCTGTGTACAATTCAAATATGAACTTCTCGCATATGCTTTATCGTCATCATCATCATCTCAATTCGACTAGGGTCCTTAGTTTTCATTTCGGGTTTCTGCTGTTTTGTTTTCATCTCGGCTTAATAGGTTTTTGTGGCCTCAAAAAGTCATTAATGTTGACCAAATCATACCAACGTGAAATGAAATTTTCCGAATGGTCATCGATTACCATAGAAGAGTTCAATAGGTGGTGTTGGTGGGCTTTTGATAAGGCGGAACAGAATTCAGAAAGACAGTGATTTTAGGGTTGAAGTGATTTTGGAATCGTAATGGATTTTAAATAGATATTGAAATTAAAAATAAAAAATAGATATGAAATGTGTAATAAAAATTAAATATATGGAAAATCTTAGTGGAATGTTGCTGATGATAACATTGACATAAAATTAATATTAATTAATACGCTTTTTATAAAAGTTTTGTTTTAGAATTTAGAAAAGTGCAGTAAAGATAATTTTTTGTAATAAAAAAGGAAATGGAAGAGATAAATAGACTCTGTAGAAGTATGGTTCAGAGGCCAGTGGGAGGAATTGATATTATTTTAAGGTTATAATATTGATAGGCGTTATGTAAAGCCTGCCTTTTAATAGAAGTAATGAAAGATAATTTTGTAATAAAAAATAGAAAAATGGGAAGACATATGATGGTTAGATAAAGTACTTGGGATGGACTTTTTTTCGAAAATCTTATTAGAATGCCGATGATAAAATTTATATACAATCAGTATTAATTAATATGCTTTCTATAAAGATTTGTTTTAGAATGAAAAAATATTTTAAAGGTATTTTTTTTTTTTGTAATAAAAAGAAAATGGAGCAGAAATTGATTTGAATATGTAGTATTATTGTTGAGAGAGTAGTGGGAAGATTTAATACGATTTAAAGGCAATAATTTTAATAAAATGCTTGTAGCTCTATTTTTTAAATTTAATAAAAGTAAAGTAAAGATAATTTGTAATAGCAAATAAAAGATTAAATATAAAAAAAAATTTTGATTACCCTATGATGGGTATAATGTAAAGGGGACTTAGATATAAGCATACATATATTTTAAAATATCAGGTTAATTGTAATAAAAATAAAAAATAACAATTTAATATTTAAAACCTGTCATATGCACATTATTAGAGACCTTTATTATGTTTAAATTTCAACTCCTCTTCCGAAAAATTTAAGATAAAAAAATTTTAGGGAAAAATTCGACAAATTTGTTTTTCTAAACTGAACATTTTTTATTTTCCTTTTTATCGTATATCGAATTCATACATATATAATTCCAACAAAAAAAAAAAAAAAATGGAAAAAAAACCTAAAATTATTCGAAATTGTCGTTCTAAATGCAGAACTTGTTGTCTGTCAGGGTAAAAAGTTAATTAAAATTAAGAACTTTTTAATTTAAACTAACGCCCTTTGTCTGTCTATGGAATTAGGTCTCGTTTTCTATCCAAAGAAGGACCATATTATTCAACAACTGAGACACAATTTGTATTCTCTTCACCACAAATTTGTCATTTCTTTCCTCGAAGTATTCAAGAAAGAATTATTGATCAGAATAAAATTCTAATTTAACTTGTAATTTGAAATTGTTCACATACTTTCCTACGATGATTGGTATTGAAAATGGGATATATGTTTCGACATATTGGTGTAGCTCCTATATAACCTCCAAATATTTCGTATATGCAACCTAATTGTATGTATTTTTTTTTGGTATTATGGGGTAGCAAATATTGCTACCAAAAATTATCTTATTTGCTACTTTTTAAGGTAGTCCCCAAATAATGGTAACTTCCAAATATTTGGTATTTGGAGTAAAAAAAAACTTTTGCTGTCGTTAACTATTTTAGATTTTTTACTTTTTATATTTTCTATTTATTTCTCCCTTAATATTCGGTATTATGAGGATTTGTTTTTCAGTTAAATTTGCTATAGCTTGATATTTAATGTCTTCATTCGGTGTCAAATCTTCCTACCAAATATTTAGCAAGACATAGCCTCATACAAGCGTACCGATCGTTTTATGTATTTTGAATGTCTAGCTAATGGTTGAAGGTTAAAAGAAATCTGACATGGTCTAGTTAAGCTTTTGTTTTATTCGCTTAAATTTTTATAAAAAGTACTCAAAGAACTGCTGTACACGAACCTCATATTTGCTGAGATTTTATGTGAAGACAATTTGTCTACCAAAAAAAAAAAAAAAAAAAAAAAACTAATAAACAAAAAAAATCCTCAATTTTTTATAGAAAATTGTTCAATATAAAATTTTTTCAAAACTAAACTACAAATTTGTTTTCAATAGAAAAGTCCTCAAATGGAGAGGCTCAATCATTTTTGAAAAAAAAAACGCTAAAGTGCATATTTCGAAATTAACCTGAAAATATTCTTATAAGAGTTCTGAATTCTTCAATATATATATGTATATATTTTTAAGACTCATAGAACTGCTGTGCAAGAACCTCAGATTTGTTGAGATTGTATTTGAAAACTTCGATTTTTACATAAAAAATTCTTCGAATAAAATCCTCATTTTTGTAAAGAATTTTCACAATATAAAAAGTATTCAACATAAAACTACAAATTTGTTTTCTATAGAAAAATCCTCAATATTAGAGGCTCAATATGTTTCGCAAAAAAAAAAAAAAAAAAAAAACGCCGAAGTGTATATTTCGCAGTTGAACTGAAAGTATCCAGACATCTTTCCTATAAGAAATACTCATAGAGTTCGCCTCTACAAAGTTTAAAAATAAATTCTTTGTATTTTCTACACAAAAACTTTTTTTTAATATTCACACATTTTTATTTTGTTTAGAAATGCTCTAGTGTCAGTTTTAATGCATATTTTTTCATTTTTTCTATTGAATAAAAAGTACTACGGATTCTGAAGATTGTTTCAATAAATAATGTTGGGAGTATTTACATCAATACAGTAAGATTCGATTTTTATAGAATAATGGACCTTAATTTTTGACAATATCTGCATCAAATTCCTAACATTTTTCTATTTAAAATTTATGTCATTACATTTTGCTCTTAAAAAAAATTACCTCTGGCACTTCAAAAAATATTTTTTTTAAATACAAATTTTTTTGAAAAAGTTTCCCCAAAAAAACCTTTTTAAATATGAAACAAAAAATTTATTTACATCAAATATGGGCACTTCCGCAAAAAGGTAAACCAAAGTCGAAGAATTAGTTTTTTAAACATTTCTAACAAATACTTGACAAAAATTGTTTCATCCAATCCACATTCCTAAAAGAACATTGCAAAAAAATAATGGCTTTTATTTTTTTTTAAATCTCATCATAAAATTATTTAAAAATACAAATAATAATTTTTTAATGCATGCTTATTTATTTTTGTTTAGGTTCCATTTTTTTCTGATTTCAATTTGAATCCAGCATTTTTTAATGGATAAATGAGCTATATGTTTTAGAAAATATTAGCATGAAGATTAATATTATGAATTTAAATCAATTTCTAAGATTTTTCTATAAAAACATAACACCAATTTCTAAATATTTTTCTCTAGAAAATGGAAATATTTTTTTTTTCACAACAAAAAAAAAAAAAAATCCGGAAATTCTCCTCATTCTCTTAAATTATTAAGTGGTTCACGCCGTCAAATCGGACCTGTTTTTTTGTTTGATTTTTTTTATAAAAACCAGGAATATATTGCAATTTTATACTCTTGACTTTGTCGAACTTTTTTGAAAATATGTTCTAATGACTATGGATTATAGGTAGCGTATGACTGTGGGAAGTGTATAATTTTAAAAACAATATTTTTAGGGACAACCGGAAGCGTGAATTTTTAAAACCCGATAAATTGAACCTATATTTTTTTATTTGTAGAATAAAAAATAAGGAATTGGACCTTTCGGAGGTTGTTTTCGTAAACAATTTTCCTTTTACAGGCCCAAAATGGGTCTCAGTTTCTAAAGACGCCTTTTCTGTAGTAATAATGGAACCTCAGTTATTATTTGTTTATTTCTATAGGAAAAACTTGTCTTATTATTTTTTCTATAGGAAAAATGGATTTTTTATATATAAAGACCACATTCAATTTCTCTAGGTTAGGTTAAAATAAAGATTGTTTTCTATGATTCTTTCTGTTAAATGTGGTCCACTAAATATTAATCACAAGGAATATATTGCAATGCATTACTTTGGTATAAAATTAGATAGTTAATATTTCCTTTTAAAAAAAAAATATACAAATTTCTATTTTAAATTCTCTATTATATCGTACGCCATACTTACATTTTCTTGGTCAAATCCTATATTGATTTTATCACGAACTTTAACTCTAACTACTCGAACTACTCTTCAGCCCCATAGCTTTGATTTTTTCACGAAATGTTTCCACCTACTCTTCAGCCCAATAGTTTTTTATTCTTTTTATTAATGTCACCACATTTTATATTTTATAGCGAAGAAAAGGATTCAAAAACTTATGTCTTTTAATAAATGTTCCACTTTGCTTTTCTAAAATCAATACAAAATAAAACAAAAAATAGCTTACATTTATTTAAGGACATTATTATTAAATAATATATTTTTTATATATAAAATATTGTGTGGTAAAAGAATCAATAAAGTTCTGCATTCTTCACCTATTTTATGTTTCTGCTATGAAGTGATTACATTTTCCGCAAACAATTTTCCGTTGATTTTCCTCCAAACCATCCACGTGCACACAGTGCAATAAAAACTGCACATCTTCATTGTACTGTCATCCTTTCATTCAACCAT